TGAGCTCTATGCCTTGTATAAAGCGTTGTTTCACTGGAGACACTATCTCCTTGGTAGATTCTTTTATGTAAGATCTGACCATGAGACCTTGCGCTGGATAAAGACACAGCCGATACTCTCTGATGCACTCAAGAGGCGGATTCAAGTAATAGACATGTATGACTATCAGCTTGATCCAATCAAGGGAGAGTACAACAAAGTGGCTGATGCGTTATCACGTAGGGCAGATTATCTGGGGGCCTTAGTAACCGAGTTTGGCATATTTGACGAACACTCGATCACTGGTGGAAGCCTATCAGCAAGATCCAATTATGTCTGAGATCATTCGTAGATTTCGTCCGAAAGATAAAGTAACTTCCGACGAATTCACGATGGTAAATGACTTGCTGTTCCTTGAGAAGGCAGGGAATAAAAGGTTATCTTTAGTTTATTTTTAGGAGAATGTCATGATGCAACTGGTCATTTTGGCTATAGAAAGACACCAGCGAACTTAGTACAGAAATTTTGGTGGCCCTCTATGATGCAAGATGCTAAGAGATACGTTGAAACCTGCCAGGTTTGACAAAGGGACAAACCCAGGACTCACGCTCCGCTTGGGTTGATTAAGCGCTTGCCGATTCCTGAATGGATACTCTTGTGACCAGCAGGTCTGGGAAAAGACACATCTTTGTTATAGTGGATCGCTTTTCTAAGTATGCTAGACTAATCGCTATGCCAGAAAATGCTAAAACTGACTACGTCATCCAACTCTTTATGGCTAACTGGGTACGTGACTTCGGTTTGCCTACATCTAATGTTACTGACAGAGATGTGAGATTCACCAGTGAACTGTGGCAATCAACTGCTGAAAAGATGGGCACGAAGCTCCAAATGACATCCGGGAATCACCCTGAGTCAAATGGCCAAGCAGAACAGATGAATCGAGTAGTACAGCACCTGCTTAGACATTATATCAAGCCAAGTCAGGACGACTGGGACGAGAAACTACCTCTCGTTGCCAGCTTGTATAACAACGCAGTGCACAGTACTACAGGAAAGCCTCCCAACCAACTGCACCTTGGTTGGAAACCCAAAACTGCACTTGATTTTCTGCTACCAGAAAGAGAACCCACTGCAGCACCTGGCAGCATAGAGTTCGCTGTCAAATATGAACAGATGCTGCAGCAAGCCGTTGAACATATCAGGAAATCTCAGGATGCAATGATCGCATATGAGAATAAGCACATACGGCCCTCTAACTTTCAGGTAGGTGATAGAGTCTGGGTTAAGTCATCTAAACTAGGTCAGGAGAGGCATTTCACGTAAACTAATGCCACAGTACGTTGGGCCCTGGGAGATCTTAGACATTGTAGGGGATCAACCGGATGGGCCTTCATACGTGATTCGCATTCCTGTGCACTTACGTACTCACCCTGTGTTCCATGCCTCCAAGTTGGCACCTTTCGCTGCCACTGTCAGTTTCCCTCAAGGAGATCAATGCTGCCCCCAACCATGGATGGCGAAGTGGATATTGACCAGATCGTGGGGCACCAAGTGATGCCAGTACCTCGACCATCAGGCAGAGGCCGCCCTCCTAAACCAAGAATGCAGTATCGTGTGAGATTCAGACATCATCTGGATCCTAAAGAAGATCGCTGGTTCACACGAGAGGAACACATGAGAACAGCACCTCAAGTGAGTGCAGGCTACGAAAGAGAACTCAAAGGGAAGATGCCTGCAGAGTGACAGACTTCTCAGAGGACTAACGAAGTAAAGGAGGAGGGAATGCGAGGATCTGGGTCCTCGGCAGGCCTGAGGGGCCCCTGTTGCAAGAGTGCCCGCCCTAAGTGAAGGCGGGCCTAACATATCACAAGAGGCCCTCGGCTGTCAAATTCATATTTGGGGTCCAAGCAGTTGCGACGCGTCAGTTGGTTGAGAGAAACCCAGGCCGAGCAACAAAGACATTTCTACGGCCTTTTGGGCTTTTCCAAAGAATGCAGGCCCTGGGCGAGAATCGCAGCATCATACACTAACAGTTGGGAGGCTCAACCGCAAGAGGCCCAGTAGCTGCACACAAGCGCATGATCCTGGGGCCTACCGGAAGCTTCTGGGCCCAGGCCCAGCCCAGCCAGGCTGCGCGAGCAGGCCAGCTCTTTCCATATAGGAAAGAGCTCTCCCTGGCCAGCCTCATTCGGGCACTTGCTGGCTGGCGGCAGCGCTGCTGGAGCGATAGCTCGCGTGATGCCTGCTGGCATTGGAGCAAGAGGCTGCACACGTGCGGTTGTGTGGTGAAGAAGGGCGCTGCTGAGGGCAGCGCCATAGCCCAGCCTCCATAGCTGGCTGTGGGCTTGGACATACAGTGAGGCGCAGGGGTGGTC